AGATAGATAGATAGATAGATAGATATTCAGATAGATAGATAGATATTCAGATAGATAGATATTCAATATTTAGATAGATAGATAGATATATATTCAGATAGATATTCAGATAGATAAATAGATATTCAGATAGATAGATAGATATTCAGATAGATAGATATTCAGATAGATATTCAGATAGATAGATAGATAGATAGATAAATAGATAGATAGATAGATAGATAGATAGATAGATAGATAGATAGATAGATAGATAGATAGATATAGATAGATATATTCAGATAGATAGATAGATAGATAGATAGATAGATAGATATATTCAGATAGATTCAGATAGATAGATAGATAGATAGATAGATTCAGATAGATAGATAGATTCAGATAGATAGATAGATAGATAGATTCAGATAGATATATTCAGATAGATAGATATATTCAGATAGATAGATAGATATATTCAGATAGATAGATAGATAGATATATTCAGATAGATAGATAGATATATTCAGATAGATAGATATTCAATATTCAGATAGATAGATAGATAGATAAATATATTCAGATAGATAGATAGATAGATATTCAATATTCAGATAGATAGATAGATGATAGACATATAGATAGATAGATAGATTTTAACTTTGCACTGAAAGCAAAGATGATAAACGCTCGGAGAGAGAGGAATGCTCTTGTGTTCAGAGAGTTTGGACCGATCAGACGCTCTCAGAGTGAAGAATGTGCTGTCTCTGAGAAAGAGCAAACTGATTATCATGTACAGCCATTATTTTCATATTTTAAAGTAATTCAAGGACATTCAAACAGTGAGATAGGAGTTTCCAAACACTTTTCACGAAGTCTGAATAATGTGAGTAAACAGAATATTTACTTGGATCAAACAGGAATCATATTTGTACATATTTGCATACTATGAAGAGACTGTCAAGCTCTCTGTTCTCTGTTCGTGAAGCTGAGTATCATCTGCGATTCTCAGGTCAGCAGACGTGAGCTTCTCTCTTCATCTTACCGGAGGATTGAGCGCAAGCTCGTCTCTCACGAGGCATAATCACAGTTAACGAGCTCTCAAGTTTTTGCGTCTGAGACGGTTACTTAAGGTTTTGTAGTTTTCAAGAAGGTTCAAGTGGTTGAATTTTCACTTGAAATATTCTGCTACCTATTATTACTCCAGCTTCTCCATTTGCACTCTTTAATATGAAAAGCTCTTATTTAATGCAGCATTATGTTAAGAATCAGAAACTTGAAAACCTTATTCCTCAGTGTAAGAGCTGATAAACCTCTTAAATGTTAAATGATAAACATCCTATGTTGCTGCTGCTTTGATATCAAGACAACAATATTTTAAGACCTGATCTGGAATGCAGTCATTATAGAGCAAGCGAAATAATAAAATAAAATACATATTTTATTTTAAGAATATATATATATGGGCTGTCAAAATGAACGTTAATTGTGCAATTATCTATTTATATATTATTTATTTAATGATATTAAATTATATTGTGTAATTTTATGGAATATGTATTATATATTATGTATTATATATGTTTCTATCTATCTCTCTATATAAATGTAGATTATGTAAGGCTAATAATAATTAGAATACTATAATTGATAAATACTATATTGTAATACTATGCTGTAAGTTGCAAATATATATTTGACATATTATTATAAAATATATTTATTATAATATAAATAGAATTTATCATGTATTTATTATAACATATATTTAATATATTATAATATCTATATATATTTGTTCAAATTATATTGTATTACTTTTGAATTTTATATATATATATATACACACACACACACTTAGTGTATATTTCTTATTAGTGTATGTATATATACATGCACTAATAAGAAATACTAATAATACATACAAATTCTAATACATTTTTTTTTATTGCATTCAATGAAAGTCTGTGTAAATGGTTCGTAATGTTGCTTTGATTTTATATACAAAAACGTAAAAAGAAAAAAAAAATGTTCCACAGAAAATGTAAGTCATTCAGGTCTGAAACGATACACAGATGAATAAATGATGACAGAACTGACATATTTCGGTAGTTAAGTAGCTATATTTCAGTTGAAATGCTATTTCATTAACCTGATGCACCTGCTGTGTACTTGAATATTGTTCATAATAATATTCAATCTGAATAAAGTTAATATTAATTAAACTGTTATTTGTAAAAGACACACATGGACGTTGCCAGAGAAACAAACAATCTCTGAGTGTGGTTCAGAGCTGGATCTCAGAGCTGTAATTACGGTAATTCTGACACGACGTGAACACAGCATTAAATATTCATCGAAAACCTATTGGCGTTACGAAGGGCAATTTTACTTGAGTTCTAGAGCCTTTTGAATTTCTATTAGAATTCAGGTGTAATTTACCATCACAGATGGAGTCATACAGCAGCAGCACGCATCCATCTGACGCTCTTGATGTGAAGAATGAAAGCAAACGTCGTCTGCATGATTGAATAAATATTTTATTGAGGCACATCATGCGGTCCAGTGCATAGAAATCAAACGGAAGCACCGCTGCTCATGTTCTTTACCATGAGTTTATGTCAGGAGCGTGAAGTGATCCGGGACAGACGCGGCCTCCGGCGTCAGTGGGTTACACCGCACATCCACACTCTTCAGAGCAGGCATCAGAGACAGCTTCTCCATCGGCAGCTCTGAGAGAGAGAGAGACACACAGAGAGAGAGAGAGAGAGACATCAGACCTGTGCAGCATCGGCCCTTCAGGTTTGGAGAGATGTTGCTCTCACAAAAGTTGAACAAAAGTTTCCTTCATTATGAAAACCACTGTAAAACCACTGATACAGAGAGATCAGATACAGACCCAAGATAGGCTGTGATTCGTTTCTCGTTAACTAAATCATGCACAAGTTTTAAACGTGATTGAATAAAAAGTACAGATCAGATTAGATTGCAACATTGGATTTAATGCATTTAGCAAACAGTATTTGCAGAATAAAATGTCATGTTTATTACACTTAAAAAAATAATCAGGTCTTTCCCTTTTTTTTTTTATGTTTTATATATATATATATATATATATATATACACACACACACACTTAGTGTATATTTCTTATTAGTGTATGTATATATACATGCACTAATAAGAAATACTAATAATACATACAAATTCTAATACATTTTTTTTTATTGCATTCAATGAAAGTCTGTGTAAATGGTTCGTAATGTTGCTTTGATTTTATATACAAAAACGTAAAAAGAAAAAAAAAATGTTCCACAGAAAATGTAAGTCATTCAGGTCTGAAACGATACACAGATGAATAAATGATGACAGAACTGACATATTTCGGTAGTTAAGTAGCTATATTTCAGTTGAAATGCTATTTCATTAACCTGATGCACCTGCTGTGTACTTGAATATTGTTCATAATAATATTCAATCTGAATAAAGTTAATATTAATTAAACTGTTATTTGTAAAAGACACACATGGACGTTGCCAGAGAAACAAACAATCTCTGAGTGTGGTTCAGAGCTGGATCTCAGAGCTGTAATTACGGTAATTCTGACACGACGTGAACACAGCATTAAATATTCATCGAAAACCTATTGGCGTTACGAAGGGCAATTTTACTTGAGTTCTAGAGCCTTTTGAATTTCTATTAGAATTCAGGTGTAATTTACCATCACAGATGGAGTCATACAGCAGCAGCACGCATCCATCTGACGCTCTTGATGTGAAGAATGAAAGCAAACGTCGTCTGCATGATTGAATAAATATTTTATTGAGGCACATCATGCGGTCCAGTGCATAGAAATCAAACGGAAGCACCGCTGCTCATGTTCTTTACCATGAGTTTATGTCAGGAGCGTGAAGTGATCCGGGACAGACGCGGCCTCCGGCGTCAGTGGGTTACACCGCACATCCACACTCTTCAGAGCAGGCATCAGAGACAGCTTCTCCATCGGCAGCTCTGAGAGAGAGAGAGACACAGAGAGAGAGAGAGAGAGAGAGAGACATCAGACCTGTGCAGCATCGGCCCTTCAGGTTTGGAGAGATGTTGCTCTCACAAAAGTTGAACAAAAGTTTCCTTCATTATGAAAACCACTGTAAAACCACTGATACAGAGAGATCAGATACAGACCCAAGATAGGCTGTGATTCGTTTCTCGTTAACTAAATCATGCACAAGTTTTAAACGTGATTGAATAAAAGGTACAGATCAGATTAGATTGCAACATTGGATTTAATGCATTTAGCAAACAGTATTTGCAGAATAAAATGTCATGTTTATTACACTTAAAAAAATAATCAGGTCTTTCCCTTCACTAAAAACACATAAAATAATGCTTACTTTTAACATTTATTCTCCTTATCGTCCTATGCAAAGCATGCTGGGAACTAAATACTAAAAAACAAATACTATAATATAGAAATACTAATATTTTGGTGCATACAATGAAAGTCAATGGTGTATAATGCTGTTTTGGACTATACAGACGAAATCTATAATTTATATATACATATTCATTATAATAAAAACATATGCTATATATATATATATATATATACTGTAGATGCACTGAATAATTTTTAGAGAGTTCTACTTTGCGATCAACATGAGTCAATGCAGTATTTGTTTACAGTATTTATTAATCTTTGTTAATGTTAATAAAAATACAATGTTAGTTCATGTCAGCTCATGTCTATGAAATAATATATTAATAATTGATTTTAATAATGTATTAGTTAATATTAAAATAAACCTTAACTAAGATTAGATTATTAAATGCTTTAAAAGTATTTTCATTGGTTAACTACATTATGAACGAACAATGTAACCAAATGAAGCCTTATTGTAAAGTGTTGCCGTTTTTATTTTACATGAAACAACGATCACATGACCAGTTGAATACTAAGGACTTTATACTGTATATCTATTTATATATTATACAATTTTTCTTCAGGGGCAAATCTCACAAACACTTTAAAGGTTCTGAAGGCAAAAAAACCTAGACTTAAAGCCCAAAAGAGGAGTGTACTAAAACAAACACAAAAGAGGTGCGAGATCAAAGCATCAAATTACCACACAGAGAGGAAACCAGAAAGAAAGAGAGACAGAAATGCTTCAAATGTATCCTATGCCTTAAACGCAGTTAAGAAACTGAATGAAAGCATCTGCTAAAATGCATGAATGCAATGCAGCTGCACATAATGAGCGCTCGTTGGAGCGCTCCTATTGGTGTAGAATGGAAGTGGGCAGAGCCTAATCAATCAAGTGACCAGAGACACGCCCACAACACTGTGCCTCTCAAAACAAGCCAGAACGCTTGCTGCTCAGAAGTAATCAAGTGCTGATTGTAAGTAAACGAGGTAGGTTAAAGCCATATTCATTTCTACGTTTCTCTTGAAAATTGAAATTTTTTATTATTAAATTCCTAATGTTTTCTACGACTCTAAAACAGTGAATTTTCAACTAGTTTCTGGGCTATCATTGATCATTTTATGTCCAAAAGAGTAAAACACTGTGACTCTTTTAGAACACTGATCTGTTTGTTTGAGTGGCCCGACTCCAATCCAATCACGTGAGTTTGGGGGCGGGACTATCTGTTTGACTGACCAATGACTGTTATGGAAACCTGTTGGGAAACACTCATTATTTTGTATTTGTGTTTAGTGACACTGGTGAAGCAGAAACGACCCACTTCCGCTATATATATATATATACACACACACACACTTAGTGTATATTTCTTATTAGTGTATGTATATATACATGCACTAATAAGAAATACTAATAATACATACAAATTCTAATAAAAAAATTTTTTTGTTGCATTCAATGAAAGTCTGTGTAAATGGTTCGTAATGTTGCTTTGATTTTATATACAAAAACGTAAAAAAAAAAGAAAAAAAAAATGTTCCACAGAAAATGTAAGTCATTCAGGTCTGAAACGATACACAGATGAATAAATGATGACAGAACTGACATATTTCGGTAGTTAAGTAGCTATATTTCAGTTGAAATGCTATTTCATTAACCTGATGCACCTGCTGTGTACTTGAATATTGTTCATAATAATATTCAATCTGAATAAAGTTAATATTAATTAAACTGTTATTTGTAAAAGACACACATGGACGTTGCCAGAGAAACAAACAATCTCTGAGTGTGGTTCAGAGCTGGATCTCAGAGCTGTAATTACGGTAATTCTGACACGACGTGAACACAGCATTAAATATTCATCGAAAACCTATTGGCGTTACGAAGGGCAATTTTACTTGAGTTCTAGAGCCTTTTGAATTTCTATTAGAATTCAGGTGTAATTTACCATCACAGATGGAGTCATACAGCAGCAGCACGCATCCATCTGACGCTCTTGATGTGAAGAATGAAAGCAAACGTCGTCTGCATGATTGAATAAATATTTTATTGAGGCACATCATGCGGTCCAGTGCATAGAAATCAAACGGAAGCACCGCTGCTCATGTTCTTTACCATGAGTTTATGTCAGGAGCGTGAAGTGATCCGGGACAGACGCGGCCTCCGGCGTCAGTGGGTTACACCGCACATCCACACTCTTCAGAGCAGGCATCAGAGACAGCTTCTCCATCGGCAGCTCTGAGAGAGAGAGAGACACACAGAGAGAGAGAGAGAGAGACATCAGACCTGTGCAGCATCGGCCCTTCAGGTTTGGAGAGATGTTGCTCTCACAAAAGTTGAACAAAAGTTTCCTTCATTATGAAAACCACTGTAAAACCACTGATACAGAGAGATCAGATACAGACCCAAGATAGGCTGTGATTCGTTTCTCGTTAACTAAATCATGCACAAGTTTTAAACGTGATTGAATAAAAAGTACAGATCAGATTAGATTGCAACATTGGATTTAATGCATTTAGCAAACAGTATTTGCAGAATAAAATGTCATGTTTATTACACTTAAAAAAATAATCAGGTCTTTCCCTTCACTAAAAACACATAAAATAATGCTTACTTTTAACATTTATTCTCCTTATCGTCCTATGCAAAGCATGCTGGGAACTAAATATTTTGGACTATACAGACGAAATATATAATTTATATATACATATTCATTATAATAAAAACATATGCTATATATATATATATATATATACTGTAGATGCACTGAATAATTTTTTAGAGAGTTCTACTTTGCGATCAACATGAGTCAATGCAGTATTTGTTTACAGTATTTATTAATCTTTGTTAATGTTAATAAAAATACAATGTTAGTTCATGTCAGCTCATGTCTATGAAATAATATATTAATAATTGATTTTAATAATGTATTAGTTAATATTAAAATGAACATTAACTAAGATTAGATTATTAAATGCTTTAAAAGTATTTTTCATTGGTTAACTACATTATGAACGAACAATGTAACCAAATGAAGCCTTATTGTAAAGTGTTGCCGTTTTTATTTTACATGAAACAACGATCACATGACCAGTTGAATACTAAGGACTTTATACTGTATATCTATTTATATATTATACAATTTTTCTTCAGGGGCAAATCTCACAAACACTTTAAAGGTTCTGAAGGCAAAAAAACCTAGACTTAAAGCCCAAAAGAGGAGTGTACTAAAACAAACACAAAAGAGGTGCGAGATCAAAGCATCAAATTACCACACAGAGAGGAAACCAGAAAGAAAGAGAGACAGAAATGCTTCAAATGTATCCTGTGCCTTAAACGCAGTTAAGAAACTGAATGAAAGCATCTGCTAAAATGCATGAATGCAATGCAGCTGCACATAATGAGCGCTCGTTGGAGCGCTCCTATTGGTGTAGAATGGAAGTGGGCGGAGCCTAATCAATCAAGTGACCGCATCACGGTTTTCACAGAAATATTGTGCAGCACGACTGTGTTCAACATTGATAATAATCAGTAATCATATTAGAATCATGTGACACTGAAGACTGCAGAAAATACAGCTTTGATCACAGAAATAAATTACAGTTTAACAGATATTCACATAGAAAACAGCTATTTTAAATTGTAATAATATTTCACAATTTTTACTGTATTTTTAATCATATAAATGTAGCCTTGGTGAGCAGAAGATACTTTTTTTTTTTTTACACTGTAGCATATGTCTTAATACATTAGATAAAATATAAAAATCATATTAGTTTGTTAACAATTATCACAATATGGGGTGGATTTTAAGTAATTTCTCTCTTTTGGTTTGACTGGATGTTCAGCTCGCTGATCTCTGACCAGAAGCTTACTTGATAAATCAGAAGTTGTTGTTGTGTGGATTGATGTTTGTCTGGACAGTGTGCACCGTCTTAAGTCAATTATTAATTCAAACATACATTTTTTAATAGATCCAGAACCACTGCGTGGGTTTAAATTGTGTTGACAGCAATGAAATAATAATAGATGGATCATGATTCACCGTGACATTTTCTTTGCTGCCACACTTTCTGAACTTTCTATCTAATTCTAAACCTCTCTGAGAGTGTCGCCGCATTTCTGTCTCAAACCTTCTGAATGTTTCACATCTACAGATTAATTTCTCTTTCTGCACGACCCACAGCGCCGTCCGTCTGAAAAACAATATACACTTCGTTTGAGAAGAAATGTTGCCTGTTTGACGGCTTTGGTTGGTTTGAAAGCCATTAAGTTCTTTTTGTTTTGTTTTTGTTTTGCATTGTGACGTTATGGTCATGAGAATCAAGCACAAGCTCATTAATGCAATGCAAAAAATATATATTATTTGAATTGTAATTATAAATGATGATGCATTTGTCTCGCAGCCTTTAATTAATTAAATGAAAATGAGAAATAAAATGGGTTTACGTTTTTTTTTTAATATATACTGTATATATTTTATTTCAGTTTAGGTTTTTTATTTCAAGTAGCAAAAATGGTTTCATAGTTTTAATTTTAGATAAATTTTTGTTATCTAAGAATTAGGATCTCAAAAGAATTTTGAGAATTACAAAAAAATGCATCAGATTATTTTTTTAAATACTTACTGACAGTTTGAGGAGAAATGTGCTTAATGATCAGGATAATAATATCACAAATGCAAAAGATGTTAATTGGGCCTAAAACTAACTTTGTGTCAAATTTAATTTAATGAATGTGTGATTTTAGAGGTGAAGTGCGACCCACTCGTTCCTGAGATTCATCCATTATCAATCATGTTTGCAGATTATTCTGCCATACTTTTCAGATCTCATTGCTCTCTCATGCTGTGTTTTGATGAACACTATCGTGTGAGAGTGTGTGTGTGTGTGAGAGAGTGTGTGAGAGTGTGTGTGTGAGAGAGAGTGTGTGTGTGTGTGAGAGAGAGAGAGAGAGAGTGTGTGAGAGTGTGTGTGTGAGAGAGAGAGTGTGTGAGAGTGTGTGTGAGAGAGAGAGTGTGTGTGTGTGTGAGAGAGAGAGAGAGAGAGTGTGTGAGAGTGTGTGTGTGAGAGAGAGAGTGTGTGAGAGTGTGTGTGAGAGAGAGAGTGTGTGTGTGTGTGAGAGAGAGAGAGAGAGAGTGTGTGAGAGTGTGTGTGTGAGAGAGAGAGTGTGTGAGAGTGTGTGTGAGAGAGAGAGTGTGTGTGTGTGTGAGAGAGAGAGAGAGAGAGAGTGTGTGAGAGTATGGGTGTGCGGGGGAGCGGGAGAGAGTGTGAGAGAGGGTGTGTGTGTGCGCGTGTGAGAGTGTGTGAGAGAGTGTGTGAGTGTGTGTGTGTGAGAGTGTGTGTGTGTGTGAGAGTGTGTGTGAGAGAGAGTGTGTGTGAGAGAGAGAGAGAGTGTGTGTGTGTGTATGTGTGTGTGTGTGTGAGAGAGTGTGAGTGAGTGTGTGTGTGTGAGAGTGTGTGAGTGTGTGTGTGTGTGTGAGTGTACCTCTGAAAACCAAAACAGTGTCATACGGATCTCACATAAAGTAGATGCATTCATGTGTAACATAAACATGTGATTTCAGGGAAGCAGCGCTTTTCTCTTAAAGGCTCAGTATGAACGAAAGGCCTAATGAGAGTTAATTAGCCTGTCTCCTTGTTATAGTTTTTATCACTGCTAGAACACTTCAAGCTCATGTAATTAAAGAGAGAATTCACCCAAAAATAAACATTCTGTCATTATTTACTCACCCTCGTGTCAGAAGTTAAGTAGTTTTATGATTTTATGGTGTTTTTTTTGGTCCTTTTTGAAACATGACAACACGTGTTCCTGTTCACTTTCAAAAAAAGCGGATCAGTTTTGTTATTATCTTAAACTAAAATTAAAACTATTAAAAATCCTTTTTGATAAATGAAATACAGCTAAAATAAAATATAAATTAATTTTGTTATAATAATACAATAATTTTATGTTATTTTATTTTATAAAAAATAAAGAAATAAATAACATTTAAAAAAAAAAATCGAAATATTACATGAAAAACTTAAGTGAAAATTAGAAATGTGGCCTGGCTAACTAACAGAAAAAATTTAATAAGATGAAGTACTAAAATTATTAAATGAAAATTAATTAAAGCTATATAGAAATATTTAAAAAAAAATTATATAAATGACAAAAAATTTAGCACTTAACAAAATTAATAAAAATTAAAATAACAGTAATAGTAATAATAATAATTTAAAGTTAAAAATATTAATAAACGCTACAGCACTGCAGCAGACTGGACATTCTTCCTAAACCTCCACGACAGTCTTGCAGGCTTGGAATAACACCAATCACAATTCTCAAGCTATTCTGGAAACAGAATGACACTTCATATCATGTCAAGGGGAAGTATTAGTTTAAACACATCTAGTTAATACGTCCGGTCACCTGTGATCTGGTTCTGAAATATTTAAAAAAAAATTATATAAATGACAAAAAATTTAGCACTTAACAAAATTAATAAAAATTAAAATAACAGTAATAGTAATAATAATAATTTAAAGTTAAAAATATTAATAAACGCTACAGCACTGCAGCAGACTGGACATTCTTCCTAAACCTCCACGACAGTCTTGCAGGCTTGGAATAACACCAATCACAATTCTCAAGCTATTCTGGAAACAGAATGACACTTTATATCATGTCAAGGGGAAGTATTAGTTTAAACACATCTAGTTAATACGTCCGGTCACCTGTGATCTGGTTCTCCTCCACGCTGATGTGCTGGAGGCTGCTCACATCCGTCAGGCGCTCGGGGAAAACCCTCAGCTTGTTTCTGGAGAGATCCATGCTGATCAAGTGCTGCATGTTTCCGACCGCCTCCGGCAGCGTTGTGAGGACGTTCCCCTGCAGATCCACCTCTACAGGAAAACCAGAAAACCTTCGATATGCGCTGATCATGCAGTCTGTGTGTCTACCTGAATCTCCCATGAGGCACTGTGTGTGATGTAACGAAGTCAGTCACTCTGAAATAACTTATAGGAGTGATTTGATTCATATTTTGCAATTTCAAATATTTTCCATTTTATGCTTAGAATCAACATTTAAAAGTTTGAGGTCAGTAAGATATGCAATGTTTATGAAAGTCTCTTCTGCTCACCGAGGCTGCATTTATTTGTTCAAAAATACAGTAAAATTGTGAAATATTATTACAATGTAAAGCAGCTGTTTTCTATGTGAATATCTGTTAAACTGTAATTTATTTCTGTGATCAAAGCTGTATTTTCAGCATCATTCCTCCAGTCTTCAGTGTCACATAATCTTCAGAAATCAGTATAATATGCTGATCTGCTGCTCGAGAAACATTTCTGATTATTATCAATGTTGAAAACAGTCGTGCTGCACGATATTTTTGTGGAAACCGTGATGCATTTAATTTTTTCAGGATTCACAGATGCATAGAAAGTTCTAAAGAACAGCATTTATTTGAAATAGAAATCTTTCGTAACATTATAAATGTCCTTCTGTCATTTTTGATAGATTTAATGCATCCTTGCTGAATAAAAGTATTAATTTATTTGAAAAAATATCTTACTGACCCCTTTTTAACTTTTCAGATTCGTGCATTTGATACGAATCATCTAAACGTTTGATTTGTGTCCATTATGTTTCAAATAAAAAACAAAAAAATTAAACAGTTGAAATGAGGCACTTTTCATTTGTGAAGTATTTGAATAAGTAGATAAATGTGCCAAATCCATATTATTATTTAATATATAATTCATATATATATGTGTGTGTGTGTATATATATATATACATTTTTCCAGCAATAATAACTGCAGTATATGATGAAATGTATTGTTAATGTGCTCTAACGCTGGCTGCTGTAGAGAGCTACCGAAGCTTCTTCTCTTGACACTGAGGACAGTCTTACCTCTTAACTGAGTAAACGTGAGGAAGAACTTGTTGCTCAAGGCTTTGATCTGGTTGTTGGCCAGAGAGATTTTCTGGATGTTGTCTGTGCAGCTGCGGATCATCTTGAAGACGCCGTCAGGGAAACTAACGAGGCCACAGTCGGACAGATCTGAGGCAGAACACAGAGCTGATTCAGACTGACTCTGGCATCAGAGGTTAATATGAGCGCTCTAATGAAGAGCTTGTGCTGTTCAGAGAGCCGTCGCCTCTGTATATCAACAAGCTCCCACTGAGCAATCACTCAGCAAACCAGACTGACCGACAGAATTAATGCAGTCATTTGCGGGCTCTTGATGTGTGTGTGTGGATAATCAAAGTGTTGGGCTTCACAATGCCGCTGATTGCCCTTTAGGTTTACTTACTCTCGGCATTAAATGCCTGATATGATGATTTAAAGAACATGACACTTGATAAATTGAGAAATGGTGAAAATCAAGCGAATATGTGATTTGTCTCAGAACAATAGCACCATCTACTGAGCACAAGCTGAAACTAATCAATAACAATCAAATAAATTGAGGAACATTTTATTTATTTATTTATTATTATTTTTGCAATTACACAGGTCTGCATCTTCAGGGGAAAAAAGGCGTAATATTACCTAATGTATTTATTTATTATTATTATATTTTTTTCAAAAAATAAGGACTTTTCACATTTTTGGTAATAAAAAATAATTATATATATCTTGAATTTTTTATTAAAAAAATAAAAAATTATTACGTATCTTGAATTCACTTATTAAAATAACCAAATGCAATCAAAAGGTTAATTTTTAATGCCAAAGAATGAGTATTCAAAATGTATAATTTAAATTACAATCTGCAGAGGAGTGGAAAAATATTTTGTTTAATTTTTAGTTTAATTTCAAAGAACTTTACATAAACATAACTTTATAAATATAAGCTTTTCCACAAAATCTGTCGGTTTTTCACACTGTTTGGATGCAGTAAAACACGCAGATGTTGCATGTTTGTGATTTCTTCTGTCGCTGGCTACAGTTCTAACCTTGCAGTCAGCATTAGTATCAAATAATGTGGGCTGAAACTGAACTAACGGTTGCAGTGCGGCTCAGATTCAGACAGATTCAGACAGGACTCATGTGCTTCTGCTGTTGAAGGGAGAACACGAGACTTCTTCGCCTTACAAATGCTTGCCAAAAGTGAAAATGCTACGAAAAGCATCATATTTTGTGAGACGAGAATTTTTATTTTAAACGGCGCCACAAGATGAGTAAGAGTCAAGTCTTGGATTTCATGCAGCGGATCTGATGCAGGGCGCGTCAAAGTACGATTCTCTTTTACAAGAAAGACCTTTTATTGTAAATCTCCTCATGGAGACACGGAAACTATGCTAGTAGCATGCTAATCATGCTAGCAACATGCTAATAATGTGCTAATCATGCTAGCAACATGTTAGTAGCATGCTAATCATGCTAGCAACATGTTAACGACATGTTAATAACTTGCTAATAATACTAGCAACATGCTAGTAGCATGTTAATCATGTTAACAACATGTTAGTAACATGCGAATCGTGCTAGAAACTTGTTAGCAACATGCTAGTAACTTGCTAATCATGTTAATAACATGCTAGTCACTTGCTAATCAGACTAGAAACATGTTAGCGACATACTAGTAACTTGCTAATCATGCTAGCAACATGATAATCATGCTAACAACATGCTAATCTTGCTAGCAACATGCTACTTACATGGTAATCATGCTAGAAAATGCTACTCTAATGAAGAGCTTGTGCTGTTCAGAGAGCCGTCGCCTCTGTATATCAACAAGCTCCCACTGAGCAATCACTCAGCAAACCAGACTGACCGACAGAATTAATGCAGTCATTTGCGGGCTCTTGATGTGTGTGTGTGGATAATCAAAGTGTTGGGCTTCACAATGCCGCTGATTGCCCTTTAGGTTTACTTACTCTCGGCATTAAATGCCTGATATGATGATTTAAAGAACATGACACTTGATAAATTGAGAAATGGTGAAAATCAAGCGAATATGTGATTTGTCTCAGAACAATAGCACCATCTACTGAGCACAAGCTGAAACTAATCAATAACAATCAAATAAATTGAGGAACATTTTATTTATTTATTTATTATTATTTTTGCAATTACACAGGTCTGCATCTTCAGGGGAAAAAAGGCGTAATATTACCTAATGTATTTATTTATTATTATTATATTTTTTTCAAAAAATAAGGACTTTTCACATTTTTGGTAATAAAAAATAATTATATATATCTTGAATTTTTTATTAAAAAAATAAAAAATTATTACGTATCTTGAATTCACTTATTAAAATAACCAAATGCAATCAAAAGGTTAATTTTTAATGCCAAAGAATGAGTATTCAAAATGTATAATTTAAATTACAATCTGCAGAGGAGTGGAAAAATATTTTGTTTAATTTTTAGTTTAATTTCAAAGAACTTTACATAAACATAACTTTATAAATATAAGCTTTTCCACAAAATCTGTCGTTTTCACACTGTTTGGATGCAGTAAAACACGCAGATGTTGCATGTTTGTGATTTCTTCTGTCGCTGGCTACAGTTCTAACCTTGCAGTCAGCATTAGTATCAAATAATGTGGGCTGAAACTGAACTAACGGTTGCAGTGCGGCTCAGATTCAGACAGATTCAGACAGGACTCATGTGCTTCTGCTGTTGAAGGGAGAACACGAGACTTCTTCGCCTTACAAATGCTTGCCAAAAGTGAAAATGCTACGAAAAGCATCATATTTTGTGAGACGAGAATTTTTATTTTAAACGGCGCCACAAGATGAGTAAGAGTCAAGTCTTGGATTTCATGCAGCGGATCTGATGCAGGGCGCGTCAAAGTACGATTCTCTTTTACAAGAAAGACCTTTTATTGTAAATCTCCTCATGGAGACACGGAAACTATGCTAGTAGCATGCTAATCATGCTAGCAACATGCTAATAATGTGCTAATCATGCTAGAAACATGTTAGTAGCATGCTAATCATGCTAGCAACATGTTAACGACATGTTAATAACTTGCTAATAATACTAGCAACATGCTAGTAGCATGTTAATCATGTTAACAACATGTTAGTAACATGCGAATCATGCTAGAAACTTGTTAGCAACATGCTAGTAACTTGCTAATCATGTTAGAAACATGCTAGTCACTTGCTAATCAGACTAGAAACATGTTAGCGACATACTAGTAACTTGCTAATCATGCTAACAACATGCTAATCTTGCTAGCAACATGCTACTTACATGGTAATCATGCTAGAAAATGCTAGCGACATGCTAGTAACTTGCTAATCATGTTAGAAACATGCTAGTCACTTGCTAATCAGACTAGAAACATGTTAGCGACATACTAGTAACTTGCTAATCATGCTAGCAACATGATAATCATGCTAACAACATGCTAATCTTGCTAGCAACATGCTACTTACATGGTAATCATGCTAGAAAATGCTAGCAACATGCTAGTAACTTGTTACTAATGCTAGCGACATGCTAGTCACTTGCTAATCATGTTAGCAACATGCTTGTAGCATGCTAATCATGCTCCTGCATCTTCAGGGGAAAAAAGGTGTAATATTACCTAATGTATTTATTTATTATTATTATATTTTTTTCAAAAAATAAGGACTTTTCACATTTTTGGTAATAAAAAATAATTATATATATCTTGAATTTTTTATTAAAAAAATAAAAAATTATTACGTATCTTGAATTCACTTATTAAAATAACCAAATGCAATCAAAAGGTTAATTTTTAATGCCAAAGAATGAGTATTCAAAATGTATAATTTAAATTACAATCTGCAGAGGAGTGGAAAAATATTTTGTTTAATTTTTAGTTTAATTTCAAAGAACTTTACATAAACATAACTTTATAAATATAAGCTTTTCCACAAAATCTGTCGTTTTCACACTGTTTGGATGCAGTAAAACACGCAGATGTTGCATGTTTGTGATTTCTTCTGTCGCTGGCTACAGTTCTAACCTTGCAGTCAGCATTAGTATCAAATAATGTGGGCTGAAACTGAACTAACGGTTGCAGTGCGGCTCAGATTCAGACAGATTCAGACAGGACTCATGCGCTTCTGCTGTTGAAGGGAGAACACGAGACTTCTTCGCCTTACAAATGCTTGCCAAAAGTGAAAATGCTACGAAAAGCATCATATTTTGTGAGACGAGAATTTTTATTTTAAACGGCGCCACAAGATGAGTAAGAGTCAAGTCTTGGATTTCATGCAGCGGATCTGATGCAGGGCGCGTCAAAGTACGATTCTCTTTTACAAGAAAGACCTTTTATTGTAAATCTCCTCATGGAGACACGGAAACTATGCTAGTAGCATGCTAATCATGCTAGCAACATGCTAATAATGTGCTAATCATGCTAGCAACATGTTAACGACATGTTAATAACTTGCTAATAATACTAGCAACATGCTAGTAGCATGTTAATCATGTTAACAACATGTTAGTAACATGCGAATCGTGCTAGAAACTTGTTAGCAACATGCTAGTAACTTGCTAATCATGTTAATAACATGCTAGTCACTTGCTAATCAGACTAGAAACATGTTAGCGACATACTAGTAACTTGCTAATCATGCTAGCAACATGATAATCATGCTAACAACATGCTAATCTTGCTAGCAACATGCTACTTACATAGTAATAATGCTAGAAAATGCTAGTAACTTGCTAATCATGCTAACAACATGCTAATCTTGCTAGCAACATGCTACTTACATGGTAATCATGCTAGAAAATGCTAGCGACATGTTAATAACTTGCTAATCATGCTAGCGACATGCTAATCTTGCTAGCAACATGCTACTTACATAGTAATAATGCTAGAAAATGCTAGTAACTTGCTAATCATGCTAACAACATGCTAATCTTGCTAGCAACATGCTACTTACATGGTAATCATGCTAGAAAATGCTAGCAACATGCTAGTAACTTGTTACTAATGCTAGCGACATGCTAGTCACTTGCTAATCATGTTAGCAACATGCTTGTAGCATGCTAATCATGCTAGAAGCATGTTAGCAACATGCTAGTAACTTGATAGTCATGCTAATAACATGCTAATCTCGCTAGTAACATGCTAATAATGCTAGAAACATGCTAGCGACATGCCAGTAACTTGCTAATCATGCCAGCAACATGCTAGTAACAGGCTAATCATGCCAGCAACATGCTAGTAACAGGCTAATCATACTTGATAGTCATGCAAATAACATGCTAATCTTGCTAGTAACATGCTAATAATGCTAGAAACATGCTAGCGAAATGCCAGTAACTTGCTAATCATGCCAGCAACATGCTAGTAACATGCTAATAATGCTAGAAACATGCTAGCGACATGCCAGTAACTTGCTAATCATGCCAGCAACATGCTAGTAACAGGCTAATCATGCCAGCAACATGCTAGTAACAGGCTAATCATACTTGATAGTCATGCAAATAACATGCTAATCTTGCTAGTAACATGCTAATAATGCTAGAAACATGCTAGCGAAATGCCAGTAACTTGCTAATCATGCCAGCAACATGCTAGTAACATGCTAATAATGCTAGAAACATGCTAGCGACATGCTAGTCACTTGCTAATCATGTTAGCAACATGCTTGTAGCATGCTAATCATGCTAGAAACATGTTAGCAACATGCTAGTAACTTGATAGTCATGCTAATCTCGCTAGTAACATGCTAATAATGCTAGAAACATGCTAGCGACATGCCAGTAACTTGCTAATCATGCCAGCAACATGCTAGTAACAGGCTAATCATGCTAGAAACATGTTATCAACATGTATCTAATCTATCTCAATTTTCAAACTTCAGGCTTTTACAACTGCTTTAAACTTTAAGGCTAGGCTCTCTCAAGCCAACCTAGTTTGTCTTGAGAAACTTTTTTATCTAGTTATAGCTATTGTTCTTGGTGTGAACACCTTTAAGTGATACAATTTGGCCAAATTAACTGAAGATCTGATGTGTCACATGACATGTTAAACTAGCGTTTCCAGACTTGCTTTTTAGACAGATGTGTTGAATATGAAATCTGCGCTGTTATTTAGTTTGTTTGAGATGGTGTGGTTTCCGCACCCAGAGAGTCTCTCTGCTCCTCCACGGTGGCGTTGATCCTCCGGGCGACGTTGGCCACGGCCTGCGCCATCCTGTTGGGCTCGTGTTTGATCTGAGGAGTGATTGGTGCGTTCAGTGGCGTCTGGTACTCGTGCACAGGAAGTCACAGGTGTGAGTCACGGACAGCCACTTCCTGCCAGAGCGCACACACATGCAGTGACATCAGGAACCTAATAATATCTGATCATATCTGCTCATCAACACAAGTACTAGTTTATGTTTTTGTGCATGTCATTTTATACTTATATATAGTTATTTATAATTTATAAAGAAATTAATAACTAAATTGTAATATTTACTAAATAATTATTTAGGTATATCACATTACTTATTAAATATGATTTATTAGTTATTAGTAAATAATTATTATGCTGTAGTAAATAATAACTGCAACTAATAATACAAATTTTAATTGTGCATCCATTGATACAGATGTGTGTGATATAAATATTTATTATTTTATTGTATTATAAATATATTTATTACAAAATAATTATTTAATACTAATGTTATAATAAATAATATTTACTAAATAGTTATAAATAATTATTATGCTGTAGTAAATAATAACTGCAACTAATAATACAAATTTTAATTGTGCATCCATTGATACAGATGTGTGTGATATAAATATTTATTATTTTATTATATTATAAATATATTTACTACAAAATAATTATTTACTAATAACTAATAAATCATATTTAATAAGTAATGTGATATACCTAAATAATTATTTAGGTATATCACATTACTTATTAAATATGATTTATTAGTTATTAGTAAATAATTATTATGCTGTAGTAAATAATAACTGCAACTAATAATACAAATTTTAATTGTGCATCCATTGATACAGATGTGTGTGATATAAATATTTATTATTTTATTATATTATAAATATATTTACTACAAAATAATTATTTACTACTAATGTTATAATAAATAATGTTTACTAAATAGTTATTTAATTATATCACATACTATGATTTATTATTGTATTAGTACAAAACAATTTTTTGTATTAAATAATAACTGCAAATAATATATATATTTATATTTTTGGTAACTGTGCATCCATTGACAGTTGTGTGTGTGTGTGTATATATTTATTTATTTATAAAAAATATACACACTTATTTAATTATATCACATACTATGATTTATTATTGTATTAGTACAAAACAATTTTTTGTATTAAATAATAACTGCAAATAATATATATATTTATATTTTTGGTAACTGTGCATCCATTGACAGTTGTGTGTGTGTGTGTATATATTTATTTATTTATAAAAAATATACACACACACACACACACACATGAAAGAAATAAGAAATAATATTGACTAAATAAGATGATGATATTAATAATAATATTAGTAGTACATAATTATTATTTTGTAGTTTTTATAATGAGAACCTGCCATTAAACAGCCAATTACATTCAACTTCCAAAATAATAAAATCCCCAAAACAATTCGTGACAGAGCAGACATGTTTAAGGTATTACAGGAACATATGAAGCCACTGGCCAACAGAAATGTTCATTTTAATAAATCTAAGCAAAGCCACAGCTGCTAAAACAAGTGTGACAACCTGCCCCGACCTAATAACTTTAACATCCTTTTGTCCTAAAAACACAGATGAACCTTCTCAGCTCAAATCCGCCTTCATCTCACAGAGCTTTATTTCTTTGTGCAATTATGAGAAAAAGCGAAGCATTCGACATCTGACAGATAAAAACAGCTGAACAGAAACGCATGCAGTTATTAATAGCACGAGTCTGAACGAGCACAGTCATATTATGCAGCGTTATGAGAAGATCACGAATATGAAGTTGCTGATGGACTGCAGCGTTATCGATCGGGTGCTGGTGTGAATGACGTCACGCCTCTCCTGTAGCCCAGCGAAGAGCCTTATATATATAAATAAGTTATATATAATTTATAGAGTATAACAGCGAGCACACAGTACAGCAGACCGTTCATCCAGAGCTGTAAACCCTCTCATTCAGACATGCGAGGCGCTCTCACCGTCTCCATTCTCCGGACTGATGACTTTCTGTGTGTGTGTGTGTGTGTGTGTGTGTGTGTGTGTGTTCCACATGCGCACGCCGCTGCCGTATTCCGCGCTCAACTGTCGTAAAAACGCTTGACCGCAGCATGGGTTGTGAAAACGCTTTTCAGCACTAAAAAAAAACAGTAAAAAAAAAAACAGTAAAAAATGTAAAAAAAAATTTTTTTTAAATATATATTTATATATATATATATATATATAACAATGAACATACAAGTATGGAAGGCCTTTACCGCAAATGGGGGGGAAAAAATGGTAATTGCGATTTTTTTCTCTCTCGTAATTGCGTGATATAAACTCGCAATTCTGAGAAATAAAGTCAGCATTGCGAGATAAAAAGTCGCAATAACCTTTTTAATTTTTTTATTCAGTGGCAGAAACGGGCTTCCATATACAAGGGCAATAACATAAAATGACATCTAAACAAATACAATAATAAGCTAAAACAACAATAAAAATAATAATACAAGTAAGGAAAGCAATAAAAACAAGTACAAATACAGTAGTTACAAATTATTCAAAGAACAGATTTAGGGCTTTACAATATTTTACAGTTTTGTTTCTTTTAATGTGTAGCGGTAGTGACCTATTTCTATTTTAAATTGAGTAAAATTAGGTTTACACTTACACTCGTGGATAAAGAATTGTCCTCGTATAATGAGCACATTCACAATATACCACATTTTGAAGTCAACAGTATACTCATAAAAATAAAACATCCTTTTCTTTGAGTTGCAATTCAATCTTAGTACTTAAAAAAAAATTAAAAAATTAAAACAAGCTAAATCACACCCAAATAGTTTTGTATAAATATCATAAAATAAATGGACTTTTCATCACTGAAGTGTTTTGAGTCGCACGTTCTGATTTTCATTCACAGCTGTTGAATTTATTTTCTTTATTACGTGCTTTTGGCTTTGGTAATAATTGGTGTAGCTTATTAAGAATGTTTTTATAAAAGTAAAAAAGGCTTTTAGCGTTTGCATGCAAGTCAGAAAATTCCCATTTTCTGAGCGTTTTAATTATTTTACTCTGGTTTTAGGCACAAAACCTACAGTGTTGTCATGAATTATATTGAACTTCTTTAAGAAATGCAAAAATTGAAGAAAAAAAAGTTTTTTAAATTGTGGTACATTTTTGTAAGGGTAGAACCTCAGTTAAATAGTGTATACAAAAATAATATATTTATTGCAAACTGTGGTATTTTAGTAATAACCACTGATGATTTCAGTATAGATAGATAGATAGATAGATAGATAGATATTCAGATAGATAGATAGATAGATATTCAGATAGATAGATAGATATTCAGATAGATAGATAGATAGATAGATATTCAGATAGATAGATAGATAGATATTTAGATAGATAGATAGATATTCAGATAGATAGATATTCAGATAGATAGATAGATAGATAGATAAAGCAATTCTAAAAGCTTTGTCAAATACTTTTATTTCTATTAGCAAAAATAACATCGTCTGATCTCCATTCTTTATACAAAGTTTCATATATTATATTTACATAAATATCAAGGCTTTATTTATGTACTATTTACAATCAATATTTACATAGTTTCTCCCCCACATGGTGTGATTGTAAATACAGAGACAGTGCTTGAGATCTTTATAATGCGGTCAACAGTTACTTCGACTGATTATGATTTCCTAGATTTTCCAAAAGGAGAGAATGTTTTCCTTCAGTTCTTATCTTCCGTCGTCTCCCTGGACTCTAATACCTGAACAGGTGAGTCTTGCATTCTCGTGTCTTTCTGAAGTGGTTCGAGGCTCTGGCTGATGTTTCTCGGTCACACGCTGGTTTGGATGTTCGCTGAATGTCTGAGCCTCTTCGGCGTGCTGCTGCTGCTGCTGCTGATTGAGCTCGTTCGTTAGCTGCGCTGATGAAGCTCGTCACAGGCAGCCGCACTCCTCCACTAGCATGTCCTCGTGGTGTCTGAGGATCAGCTCTCCGTTCTCGTAGTACAGCATGCTGAGGGGACTCATCTTGGTCGGAGCGCAGCAGGCCGCAGGAACTCTGATGGGATGGTAGTACTTCAGCAAACTCTGCAGCACAAACAGACCAACACCAATGTTAAGTTAGTATTATTTAGATACATTTATAGTTTATATATATATATATATATATATATATATATATATATACACACACACACA